GCCTAGCATACAAAAAGGCGATGGCAAGCCAACAGTAATGGAGGTAACCCAAATAAACCTCAATCATTGCGACATTGCTCAGCAACTGTTGTGGCAGTCGACAACAGAAACAAAGTGCGACGTTGCAATCATTGCGGAACCGTATCGAGTCCCTCCCGATAACGGTAACTGGGTTGCGGATAGAGCTGGGATGGCAGCTATACAAGTTATGGGCAGATACCCCATTCAAGAAGTGGTTGCGAGCTCATACGAAGGCTTCGTCATCGCCAAAATCAACGGAATCTTCATGTGTAGTTGTTACGCACCCCCCAGATGGACGATTGAGAAGTTCTACGAGATGCTTGATGGACTTACCGAAGAGCTGGTCGGACGACGACCGGTAGTCATCGGAGGAGACTTCAATGCTTGGGCAGTGGAGTGGGGAAGCAGGTGTTCCAATGCAAGAGGGCACAGTCTGCTGGAAGCTCTGGCAAAACTGGAAGTTATGCTGGCCAATAAAGGCACCAGCAGCACTTTTCGCAGAGATGGCCGAGAATCCATTATCGACGTTACTTTCTGCAGTCCGTCGCTGCAAACATGGATTGGAGAGTGTGCGAAGGATATACCCATAGCGACCATCAGGCGATACGATATGGCATCGGTCAACGGAATACTGTGGCAGTACGGAGGACGAGAACTTGTGACCGAAAGTGGAAGACGAAAGCTTTCGACAAGGATTTGTTCGTTGAGGCACTTCGTGTGGACGGGAGTCTCGTAGATCTAAATGCGGACGAGCTGACAGAAACGTTAGTGAGAGCATGTGACACGACCATGCCGAGGAAACTGGAGCCAAATAACAGACGGCGTCCAGTCTACTGGTGGAACGAGGCACTTAGTACTCTCCGCGCTAGTTGTCTCAGAGCCAGAAGACGTGTTCAGAGAGCAAGAACGGAAGCAGACAGAGAGGAACGAAGAGAAGTGTTTCGAGCGGCCAGGGCCGCTTTTAAACGAGTGATTAAGCAGAGCAAGTCCAACTGTTTTAAGGAACTGTGTCAAGACGCTGATGCCAACCCCTGGGGCGACGCATACCGAGTCGTGATGGCGAAGATCAGAGGTCCAACGATGCCCGCTGAAATGTGCCCAGAGAAGCTGAAAGTCATCGTGGAAGGACTTTTCCCGAAGCACGACCCAACAACCTGGCCACCTACACCGTACGGAGAAAGAGAGGGAGATAACGTCGAAATCACCAGCGAGGAGCTCGTAGTAGTGGCGAAAGGATTGAAGGTGAAGAAAGCTCCCGGTCCGGATGGAATCCCCAACGTAGCGTTGAAAGCGGCGATCCAGTCATCCCCGGACATGTTCAGGATGGTGCTGCAGAAATGCCTGAACGAGGGTCACTTCCCTGACAGGTGGAAGATACAGAAGCTAGTGTTGCTGCCGAAACCAGGAAAACCGCCGGGGGATCCAGCATCATACAGGCCTATATGCCTGCTGGATACACTCGGAAAACTCTTGGAGAGGATCATCCTAAACAGGCTGACGAAATACACGGAGAGTGAGCACGGATTGTCGGAGAGGCAGTTCGGATTCCGGAAAGGGAGATCGACGGTGGATGCAATTCGGACAGTGGTCGAGAGAGCTGAAAAGGCGTCCAAACAGAAGCGGAGAGGAGATCGATATTGCGCCGTCATAACGATCGACGTCAAGAATGCGTTCAACAGCGCCAGCTGGGAGGCCATCGCCGAAGCACTGCATAGAATGAGGGTCCCTGACTACCTGTGCAGGATCCTGAGGAGTTATTTCCAGAACCGGCTTCTGGTCTACGAGACAGACATGGGACAGAGATCGATTAGGATCACAGCGGGAGTTCCACAAGGCTCCATCCTTGGTCCAACGCTCTGGAACGGGATGTACAACGGCGTGCTAACGCTGAAACTGCCCAAAGGAGTTGAGATCGTTGGCTTTGCGGACGACGTCGTCTTGACGGTAACAGGCGAGACGCTGGAAGAGGTGGAAGTGTTGTCAACCGAGGCAATCGACATGATTGGTAACTGGATGAAAGGAGCGAAGCTGCAAATAGCCCACCACAAAACGGAAGTGTTATTGGTCAGTAACTGTAAAGCGGTACAGCGGGCGGAAATCACCGTCGGGGAGCACACCATAGCCTCGAAGCGTGTGTTAAAATACCTGGGAGTGATGATCGATGACCGGCTAAACTTCAACAGCCACGTCGAATATGCCTGTGAGAAGGCTTCGAAGGCCATCAACGCGATAGCTAGAATCATGCCGAACAACGCTGGTCCCAGCAGTAGCAAGAGGCGTCTTCTGGCCAGCGTGTCATCATCGATACTGAGATATGGAGGTCCAGCCTGGGTTCCAGCGCTGGAAACGAAGCAGAACCAAAGGAAACTGAGCAGTACGTTCCGGCTCATGGCCATGCGAGTCGTGAGTGCGTACAGAACCATCTCGTCGGAAGCAGTATGCGTTATCGCCGGTATGATCCCTATCGGCATCACCCTGG